TTGTATCGTTTGCTCTTGTCTTGTTATGGTTGAAGCTGAAGTATTCATTGACAGGTAGGACATTGCAATGTATGATTTTATATACTATACTTAGATCGGACCGAAGGCGGTGTAGTTCTAGGTTTTCTAGGTCTAGAATTTCGAGTCTGGTGGCATAAGGTATTCTGCAACGAGTAGTGGAGAACTCTTCTTGTGAAATATTTCTGGACTTTCTCAACTGTGTTAATATCAGATATGTAATGTGGGTTCCAGATTGATGAGCTGTATTCGAGTATTGGTCTAGCAAATGTTTTGAATGCTCTAGTTAGTAGTGTGATATTACCAGAGAAAAAGCTACGTAGGATTAGGTTAACAACTCTTAATGCCTTTTGGGCTATGTAGTTACAGTGGGCTCTAGCACTTAGGTCATTAGAGATGAGTACTTCAAGGTCCTTGACAGAGTTTGGATCATCAACAAGGTCTTGACTATTCAGCCTGTATTTTATTTTCTGATTTTTTATTTTTTTTTGTAGGACAGAGCATTTATTTGTTGAGATTTGAAGTTGCCATTTGTTTGACCATTCTGATACATAGTCGAGGTCTTTTTTTGAAGTTTGGAAATCCCTTATGTTGGAAAGGTCTAAAACGAATGTCAAACTCAAGGTCTGGGGGCTGGATCCGGCCCCCAGGATACTTAAATCTGGCCTGTGGGGCCACCCTGGAAACAACAAAGGACTGGCCCACGGTGCTTCTGCCAGCGAAAATGGGCTCCCGAGCTCCATGTTCGGCTGCCACAGCCTCCTGCAACTGCCATTGAAAACAGCTCGGTAGGGCCCATTTTCACTGGCAGAGGGTTGCAGGAGGCTGTGGCAGCTGAAAACAGAGCTCGGGAACCCGTTTTCGCTGGCAGAGCGCTTGGGTCACCACAGACACCCCTGACAGGAGTGTAGTCAAGCTGGCTGCACACACCCTGCCCCTTCCACCCCAGCCCCCCGAGGTCAAACACAACCCTGATGCGGCCCTCAATGAGTTTGACGCCCCTGGTCTAAAAGCATTGTGCAATCAGAGTTGGGCTGGAGGGGGCAGGGGAAGAACCATCTAGGAATGAGTTTAGAGAGAGATGGATCTCCCGTTTATTTCTGCCTTGTTAGAATTACATCATTGGGCATGTTGGACTGCCCCAATCTTGATGAAAAAATTACATTTTATGTCATTTCATTGATGGAAAATGTTTACTCAAAAGCAAAACAACCTCTTTTTGAGTTCTGCAGGACATTTTTTTGGAATAAATAGCTTGTTTCCTAAGCTCAATATGGGCACAAAACTTGGATTTCTCTCCAGTGTACTGAACAGATCTTTCCCACACTGTGCAGTGTGAACTTTCCCCCCCCCCCCCCCCCCCAGAATGCTAATGCCAGTGCAACTCACTTTGTGGTGCCACTCACCTGTTCTGAGTCTTTGTGTATTACGTGGCTTAGTTAGTTGGGCTCACTCCTCCCAAACAAACTCCATTTGTTTAGGCTAAAGACAGTTGTTTGATACATGCATGTTTTGCGTGCCAGGATTAAAGACACGAGCCAATGTTAGCAGTATTTAGAACCATCACTTTAGGTTTCAACAAAAAGTTTCACCTGGTAAGCTTTGTAACTATTTCAAATAAAAATCCACCATGTTGTGAAATATTTAGTGTTGAAGAGAGACTGTAGACATGCTTATATTCAGTCACTGACAGACTAGTCACAACATACGTAGTAATGCATTGGTAATATAGTTTAGAAATCTGTGAAATTTTCCTGGATGCACACATAGCAAACTCATTATGGGTCGTTTAACATGAGGTATGGAAGTGGCATCGCTTGGTCAATTCTCTTGGATTTTTGTCTTAAAAGTTGGAAAATACTACACTCTCTGAACAGTTGTAAGGTTGTAACCACCCAAGTTCTTGGTATCTTTAATTGAAGGAGCTGTAATTCAATATACTGAAAATTTCATCTGTTTGCATTGCTTATTGTTGGCAGTGTCATTAAACTTGTTTATTACCCACCGTGAAGACAAAGTGTGTTTTTATTACTACTGTATTTTTTCTTTTCATAGCAGATTGTCAGGCTGCTACAATATCCTTAGTAATACAACTAGCAAATAATTCTCAGAGTTGTGCAGAGATTCAGATTTGAAGGCCAAAACGGAATTGGGAGCATGCAAGTAGTATATCCCCAAAACTTAATAGAAGCCAAGATTTTCTCCAGTCATGTGACTGCCCTTTGCAGATGATTATGTATGAACTTAAGAAAAAATGTGTGTTTGGTTTAAGGTATTTCCTGCAGATGCCAAATGACAACCCTCCCCCCATATCACATTTTGCCCTTTAATTCCAAGCCTAGCATATTATTTTGGTAAATAGAAAAAAATTACTCAATAGTTGGAATGATTTATGACCCCAAAAAAGGAGTTACTTGCGAGTTATTTCAACATAAAACATTCAACATTTGTAATTGCATTTTCTCTCTTCATAAGCTCTGTAGATTTTGAGTTAACGAAAAAGCCTCTACTAATGCAGCTATGTAATGGTTTTAATAGTTGTAGCAGCTTTTGGCCTCCTGTACTGTATGAAACAGTTTAATCAGTAACCATTTAGTAACCAAACTAAACAGGAACAGCTTCAGAGTATTCTAAATACAGCCAACTGTGGTTTATTCAATTACCTTTGCTGAAACTGATCTTAATTTAGCATGAAATAGCACACCAATGTGAACAGATGCCATTTCAACACTTTCAGCACAGAAATTAGTAATTAGCAGGTAGGACTATGTCCCCTATGTTTCTTTCTAATTACAACAAACTAATCCAGTGTAGCTGTACATTGCAACACAGTGGCTGGTTTTGCTTTAAGACCTACCTGGCTTACAGATCCTTCTGTAATGGCTCAATTCACACCAAAGAAACCACAATATGGCTTAGCATGCTGTGAAAAAAAACCTCCCTTAGTAGAGAGCAGTTCCATTACTTTTGAAGACAAACGTGAATGCTTACAGTGCATGTAAATTACATTTACACATTACTCAGCCTTCTGGATCGCGATATTTTCCAAGAAATGTAACCTCTTTCTCTAAATAACTATCTTGCAAAAAAGAGGGCATTCTTTAATTTTTTTAATAAGGCCAATCAATTTATTTAAGTCCATCTACTTTCACATATTTATACAGTATAAAATAATGATCCCTATCTATTGGTACTTAAGGTTGAAATATACCCTACAAATGTATTGCAACTGGTCATTAAAATGCAAGTCAAAAGGAGCACATGGTATACAAAATAAATATGTCAATATAACCCCTGGATAGTATTTCTAAAAACATTCATTTTACCAGATTAAATAAAAACAGAAGAAATAACATAAAGCTCTCACTACAAAGTTTACCTTTAAAAAGTTATATATATGAACTTTTTATTGCTTTTCCTTCTGAACAAATAAAACATTAGGGTAAGAATTTGAAAAGATAATGTAGCAAAGTTGGCCTAAATTATTCCTCCCCCTCTACAAAGTGATTTTGAATTTGATGTAAGGAGAGGAAATTTTGAAGATACACAACTAAACAAATCCAAAACTTTACCAAAGGATACAACCAATATCCAAAATCAGATCCAATGCGGGGAAAAATCAATTTTGAAAAGTAATGGAATAAATGCTGCTGGCATATTCTCTGAATCCACAAACGTCTTGAGGAAAATAATACTTTGCATGCCAAGATTACTTTTGTGAAAATTCTGTCCCCTAAGACAAAACAATTGTGCCTCTCTCCAATTTGCCACATTCTTTTGTCATAAAGAATGCAGGACCCAACACGCTCATCACTAGTTGCATCAAATTCTGAAAGGGGCAGAATATTTTAAAAATGTCTACAAAGTTTGATACTCGATGTCATGTAAGCAGACTTCCACTTTTGAAATGGTATTCTCTCTACTTTGTTGTCTTCTGCATCTTGTAGCTCTCTTAAAGATTTAAGGTTCCCACAGCCTTCCAAAGAAAATTTGAGAGTGCACAGGGAATGACAGAAACCACAACTCTTTAACTTACACCTTAGTTCTCCATTGTAGAAAAACACCAAGAACACTGCAATATACGTGATTTGGAAAGAAACATTTAACATGTTGGTAATTTTTTAAAGTCTTAAATAATACTAAAGAATGGTTTCTGAATATAAAAATTAAAACCCAGAATACTAGCAAATTCAGGACATGGGTGGAATTTCAGATTCACATAGGCTTTGGCACTTATTTCCTGATTTCAAAAGTAAAAAGGCACATTACTGATGCTTTTTTATTAAAAGTTTTCATCTCCGCAACCTGTATGATATAGGAAACTTATTTTCACATTTGGAGCAACTATTTTAATCTTGGTAACACTGCATGGTCTCCTGAGCTATGAGCACTGACACATAATTGGGTGAACCTATTTGTAAAAATCTACAAGTTTTCAAATAGTTCTTCCTATCTAAATTTCTGTTTTGCATTGCTTAGACTGTCAGCCCAGATTATAACTTAATTTGCCACAAGAGATGAAGTGTTTCATGCAAACATAAATCCAAAGCAGGAAAATTACATCCAGAATATTTCGGGCACCACTGCCAGAAATCTGATTTTAACTTAATTCAAAATAGTCACAATAATGGGGCAAAGCAAGGTAATTTACAATAAATTATCTACAACAAGATGTGCCATCTTTGGAAGAAAAAAAAACGTTTTTAATATCTTGGAGAAAACTTTTCTATGAGAATCCTGCTAATGAAATTCTTCAAGATATAGAATACTCTTCTCCATATGCAAATACCAGTAAGTAGAATACAGCAGCAACTGGGAAATAACTTCTGGGGGGTGGGGGACAGGGAACCAAGAACCATGTGCAGTACCTTCTAAAGAGAGATTCTGGGCAAAGAATGTACGGTAGTGAGAAGACACCTAGGTGGATGCAATTAAGATGACGAAATTATAAAGCAAGAGGACCTAGGAATCTCTAGGTGTTGCCAGATAACAATTCTCAATCTCATTAACACGAATGCTGGTTGGCAGTGTGATCTGTAATTTAGCATTATCTCTGGAAAACATCAGTTCCTTACCTCTGTAGTAGAGATCACTATCATATGGACAAATCAATAGGGACTGAAGAGAGAGAGAGCTAGGAGGGAATTGAGCCCTAGGACAAAGCTTCTGTAATAATATATTTTAACGAAATGTTTCCAAGTTTTTTTTCCCCAGGAAGTAGTCTATATTGATTACTTGAATTTAAGGGTGCTCCGTTCCTTTTACAAAGCTAAGTCGACATCCAAATTGTAGGGGAAAACAAGGAGGTTTTCCCTTTCTCTCCCTCTGTGGTGATTGTACACATCAATTCTGGAGAATATCCAAAGCATCGGCTGCAGATTTTTGACAGGTGCAAAAGGGCTACATGAGGGAAGAGAAACCCAGGACTTCATTGCAACACAGCCAAGGGACATAGTTGGATTCAAATAGTGATTTTCTTGAATTTTATCAGAAAAGCGGTTCTGCTGTTTACAAAAACAGTGAGATATTGCCCACTATCTGAGATTTCTTTGAAGAAAATTAAACTGCATAAAGTATTGGACCCAGAGAGAGATTGTGCTACACAGTATTTCACATTATTCTGCATACAATATGAAAACAATGTTAAATAAGATATAAAAAAGGGAACTAACAGAACTAATGCCGAGACTAAAAGAAAAATCTGGATTCAAACAGAACCTCCATTTTCTTTTATAGGGACTGATCTGGACCCTACTTTACATTTCGTAGATAAAACTTGAAAGAGCACTTTTCTCTTTGACAAATGCGTTAAGTACTGACTTCATCCATTTGAATTCAACTAATCTGGGTAGAACACAGGACTCTTTAACAGCACCTTTTTACAGGTTGCTGCACTACAAGAGTTTTACACAATACAACGTAACTTTTCCCTTGTTGAACTTCTCCACTCAAGTGATGGACCTATTCTACGTTCACCAAGTTGTGAAGAGGTGGTTGAAGTGAGTCTGTCTGGGTGTGCAACACTGTCAGATCATGCAAAGCTGTAGCTATGGGGGCTTCTTGGGACCCTGCTGCAGGCCTCAATTTACAGTCTGTTACAGAGGAAGTTCCATTTTCATGCCCAGCAGTCATGCTTTCTTGATCAGCCGTCAAACTTTGATAGTGCCCATTTTCAGATAATGACAGCAGCTTTTCTGGTAACTTGGGACGAGGTCCATCGTATTCTTCAACAGGAAGCTCAGTCTTATGATCCTCATCATTCTTAGAAGCACCTTCAACGACTACAAGGAAAGACTTCCAGGGTGTGTTCTTATCATGAATCTATTAAAGAAAGAAGATTACCCATACTAAATCACTCATCAGTACCCATTGGATTTTACAACACTTTCTGTAGCCTGAAGCTGTAACAAACAAACCCCATGCAGAGCTTCAAACTCTGATACAGTATGGAGGAGATTCTTAGTTAAGTTCACCTAGTAGTTCTTTTTCTCATCCCCCAAATAACAGCAGAATATTTTGGAGAATTGGTTTATATTCAAGTAACAAAGTCTATACTAAAGAAAATGTAGAATTCAGAGAAGAACAGTGGCAATTAAAGTGTTGAGATAGCAAGAAGCGGGACACATTTTTCCCAAGTGAAGGGAAGATGTGAAACATTACAAGCAAGCTAAAAATAATCTCAAGTATTAAAACTTGCCTGTGTATTCATTTAAGTGTAAATTGTTTCTCCTTCAAGGAAAACCTTGTGGGCTTTTTGATGGCAAAGATCAGGCCCTATGTTTGAAATTCTGTATCACTTTCCTTAATTGTGTTGGGATGAGTTTTTGTGGATTTTCAAAACAAAAGCCAAAATTGTCACTCTAATTCTGAAAAGGCTGCTTTGGTAGATGTCACCATTCAGGAACTCAACAATCCAGCAATTAGAAAGGCATTTCATCCAAATGAATGGAAATACCCTCTGCTAATATGTGAAAGGTTCCATTTTTTTTCTATCTGCATTAACTGCTCATCCATGAAAAGCTGTTATTTTCTAATCTCATCATCCAAGCGATAACCATCGTTGTGGGATCCATACCAGGTAACTATTCCTATCCTTTAATGCAACAGTAACATATCACTGGAAGTACACAAAAAGCACTTTTCACAGAAGTGCCTGTTCTCCCTTACTGAGGTGTGACGCCGAAGAGTAGACTTGTCGGTGAATGTCCGCCCACAGGCATTGCACATGAATGGCTTCTCCCCTGTGTGGATCCGATGATGGCGTTGCAGTGCATTGAGTTGAGTAAACTGTTTGCCACACTGGTCACAGCAGTATGGACGCTCACCTGCAAGATAAAGCACCTACAGAAATCAGGGGAAGTTTTGCCAATGAAAGGCAGGAATAACAACCTGACTTGAAAGCCTTGGCTACACTGCCACCTTGCTGAGGTTGCTGTGCTACTAAGCATATTTTACACCTCTAAGCAAAAACAAAATGTTACCAATTGGAGATTCTAGAAAAAGAACACGCCTAATCCATTGAAGATTAGTCTAGAGTTTCTTTTCAAAAGATGCAAAGAATATTAGCTAGTAATGCAGTTAGAATGCAAGGAAATAGAATCTTATATACTTTAAAGAGGAAAATGACTAAAGGTCTGAAGAAGAGAAATCTCAGGGAATAATAGATGAAAGCTAAGCAGGAGTTGGGAGAATTTGCAGGCAAGCAAACATAACACTAACAACCCCAAATTGTTAAAGCTATAAAAAGAAGCAGGAATCACTGAAGATCATAAGCAGAGAATGCATGAATTAAAAAAACTGAAGAAGTAAACGAAAGCAGATAAATTTTAATTTAGGGACAGGAAGTTCAGTCAAAAGCAATCAAGTACAGGAAAACAAGACAAGGGAGACCTATTACCCTGTTTCTCCAACAATACGGCCTCCCCCAATAGGAAGTCCCAGCATGTTTTATAGGCATGAAATGAAATTAAGCCCCTCCCCCCCAAATTAAGGCCTATATTAAAACATGCGAAATGGGGGGAATGGTGGGGGGGCTTGCCGTTAGGAAGTACTTTTGTTGCACACCTGGATATGGTGCTGCCTGCTTGACCCCGATACGAAGTGCCCCACCAACGCCGAGGTCAACATCCAAGCCGTCGCCACCAGCCCACCCAAAGATGCAAGGGGGGGAATTAAGTCACCCCCAAAAAGACGGCCTAGCCATTTTTTCGGGGCTCAAAAAAAAAAATAAGACCCGGCCTTATTATATGAGAAACACGGTATTTTCTGAAGAGTTCAAAGTATAAAAATTAGATTCAAAGACTTTGGGAATAAATATTTACAGTAGTGCTTAGAAGTTTGTGAAACCATTTGAATTTTTAATATTTCTGCACAAATAACCTAAAACATTATCTGTTTTTTCCCTAAGTCCTAAAACTAAATAACAATACCCCAAGAACACAAATTAGTCAAAAATACGAGATCTGGAATCTCAAGTTACTGAAGACAGAGTATGTTTCTAGATCGTGTATGTCAGATTCAAACAATCTTAAATATTAAATTTGAAATAATTATTTCTAACAATCAATTTGAACTCAGCTACAGGTTGTTTTAAGTAAGAGATTACAACAATCTGATTCATAAAGCCACAAACGGTGGTTTACAAATCACCATTAGCTGGGCAAAAACCCAAGACAATATGGTATGATTCAATATAGTGGTGAATTCAGCCTGATACACAGAGACTGCTGAACTGGCAGAGAGCATTATGGAAACCTGAAAACTAAAAGATGCTACCATCATCTGAGCTAGGCATCATCTAGCAAGAAAACTTGAAAGTAAACTCTCTCTTCAATTTTCTCCAAAAAAGTTTTCAAGTGAAACATTTTCCTAAGTTGTTTTTGTAGCTTCCTACCTGTATGAACTTTGATATGCTGATATAGTGAATTCCTCTGTGCAAATGTCCTGAAGCAAACTTCACATTTAAAGGGCTTAGATCCAGTGTGGATTCGATTATGGTGTTTCAAATACTCCTTGGAAGCAAAGCTCTTCCCACATGTCTCACACATGAAAGGTCTCTCTCCTGGAGCACAAAGGAATTGAAGAGGAAAAAAAGCAGAAAGACGGTTTTTTTTACTGATGCCAAGATCAACCCACACACACGTGAACATGAGTTTGCACACAAGGCCATCCAGGTCTGCACGAGAAACTTTCCCCATGACCACCATTAAGCACAAATTCTTTGGGGTCTGACAAACCGCTTTATGTCACAGAGTACATCATCTCAACACATCATCTTCAAAACTGTTTAGCCTTTACGGTGTCAGGCTACATCAGCTTCCCCCAGCTGGTGACCTAGAAGTGTGTGACAAATTGCCCCAACCAATAGGGCCATATTTTAAAAAAAATAGTTATAGAAAACTCAATTCTCCCTGAAAATGTTATACTGGCATCTACAAAGTTAACATGGCCAAAAAGATTTCTCTCAAATGTATCCCACAATTAATGATGGGTGGATGAAAACTTTTTAGTCAACATTTTTAAAAGGTATGCAATAAAAGCACATGGCAAAACAGTTCTTACTTCAGAATGACATGTCATTAGATTCGTTAGATTTTTATAGCAGTTACAAAAAGCCTCTTATTATCTCATACTCAAAATTACTGTAGGACTTAAGATTAACATGAGATTGAGATAAAACCACAGCAATATTGGCCTATTGGATATTGGAGCTAGCTAAGAGGTAGAGATTGGGCGTTGGTTCTTACCTGATACGCCCCTTCTCGGCGAGCCGCAAGGAGCATCCAGAGACTGAGACTGGGATGTGCTTCCGAGTCCTCTTCTTGCAGGCTGAGCTTTAGATGAGGAAACGCTCCGCCCCCTCACGTGACATCGCGGAGCGCCTCCCCAGTTTTTGCGATAACGAGAAGAGAGGTTATTGATTCTTTCTAATCTACTATTGGCTCCTTGGCTGAAGAAAGAGCCCCCACCAGACGGAGAAATTAGGGTGGGGCTGGATGCTCCTTGCGGCTCGCCGAGAAGGGGCGTATCAGGTAAGAACCAACGCCCATTCTCCCTCGAGCCGCTCGGAGCATCCAGAGACTGGGACATACCAAAGCTGGGCTGTCCTACGGGTGGGACTCCGTCTGGCCCGAAGGCCCCTCCGGATCACTGATGACCCTCTGTAAGACCCGTCGGCCAAAAGAGGCCTCCGCTGAGGCGTACGTATCTATTTTATAATGTCTGATAAACGGGGACGGAGAGGACCAGGTGGCTGCCCGACAAATGTCAGCGATGGGGGCTTGTGTGGCCCAGGCCGCCGAGGTGGCTGCACTTCTGGTGGAATGGGCGGTTATCCCACCCGGAGCGGGCAGAGAATGGGAAAGGTAGCACCTCGCAATAGTAGCCCTGATCCAGCGACTGATGGTGGAAGGGGAAACCTTAAGCCCCATTGACCTGGGTTGAAAGGATAGGAAGAGGGATTCCGACCTTCGCATGGATTGAGTGCGCTTAATATAAATACGCAAGGCCCTTCTAACATCTAGGGTGTGCCAGAGGACCTCCCTGCCCCTGGAGGGCCTGGGGCAGAAATTTGGTAAAATCAGTTCCTGTGACCTATGGAAGGGAGAGTTAACTTTGGGTAGAAAGGTAGGGTCGGGACGAAGGACCACCCGGTCTGCGTGGAACACGCATAGATCGCTCCTGACTGACAGAGCTGCTAATTCCGAAACTCGACGAGCAGAAGTAATAGCTACTAGAAAAACTACCTTGAAGGTGAGAAACTGCAGGGATGACTCCCTCAAAGGCTCGAACGGGGGACGTGTAAGAGAAACGAGGACCTTGTTGAGGTCCCATGTGGGGAACCTGTGAACGGTAGGAGGGCACAGGTTGGTGGCGCCCCTAAGGAAAGATCTAACCCTGGGGTGGTGAGAAAGGGAACCGTAGTTATCACAGGAGACCACGGTTGAGAGAGCAGAAACTTGCCGTCTCAGGGTGTTAGGTGCGAGCCCCTTGCGAAGACCCTCCTGAAGAAATTCCAGGATCTGTGCCACCGAGGGAGAGAGGGGATTAACCTGAGACCCGCTACACCACTTGCAGAACCCTTTCCAAGTGGCATCATAAATTCGTGTGGTGGAAGGGCGCCTGGCGGCCAAAATAGTGTCGATGACTTGAGTTGAAAGATTCTCAGAAGTCAGACGGATCCGCTCAACCTCCAGACGGCTAACTGGAGCCATTGAGGCTCCGGATGCAGAAGGGGCCCCTGAGAGAGGGAGACCTTGTCCGGGGGGATCCTCCATGGGGGCGCTACTGATAAGATGCGGAGATCCGCAAACCATGGTCGCCTGGGCCAATAGGGAGCCACCAGGAGAAGTTCTGCCCTCTCCTGAATGAGTTTTTGAACTACTCTGGGAACTAACGGGAGCGGAGGGAAGGCATATAGGAGCCCTGGGGGCCATGGGCAACGCAGAGCGTTGTGATTCTCCGACCTGTGAGACGGATACCGGGAGAAGAACCGTGGAAGCTGAGTGTTGGTCGGGGAAGCGAAGAGGTCCACCACCGGAAGGCCGAATATTCTGGACGCTTCCTCGAAAAGGGATGGATGGAGACGCCATTCCGCCTGGTCCACCGTGGCCCTGCTCAGCCAGTCCGCCTGAGTATTGTCTACTCCGGAGATGTGTTCGGCTTTTAAAGATAGGAGGTTGGATTCTGCCCAGCGGCAAAGGCGCTCGGCTTCCCTCATTAGCTGGATGGACTGGGTGCCCCCTTGCTTGTTGATATGGGCCTTGGCCGTGACGTTGTCCGTGAGCACGAGAACGTGATGATTGCGGATCTGAGGAAAGCTGCGCAGGGCCAGAAGGACGGCGTGAAGCTCTAGCCAATTGATGCTGCACCCCTGCTCGGTCAGCGACCATTTGCCCTGTGCAGAGATCGAGTCGAGATGAGCGCCCCAACCGGATAGGCTTGCGTCCGTAGTGACGGTGAGTCGTTGAGGTTCCGCGAATAGGTGGCCTCTGTTGATGGCGGGATTGGTCCACCAGAGAAGAGACGTGAGGACCTTTGGAGGGACCCTGACCTTGACCCTCGAGTTGCTTCTTCCGGATCGTTGGAACGGGCGCAGGAACCATTGGAGGGATCTGCTGTGTAGACGAGCCCAGGGAATAATGGAGATGCATGATACCATTTTGCCCAACAATTTAGAGAGGTCCAACAAGGCCACCCTCCTTGAACGCCTGATCTGATTGACCAGGGCTTGAATGCTAAGGAACCTCTCCGGAGAGAGGAAAACTCTCTGTGACACCGAATCAATTATGGCCCCCAAGTGGTTAATTCGAGTAGAAGGGGTAAGTTGGCTCTTTTGCCAATTGACTAGAAAACCGTGTGCCCGTAAGGCGGAGAGGGTGACCCTGGTATCCCTGACTGCCTGGGATTTGGACGGGGAGAGAATAAGAATATCGTCCAAGTAGCAGTGGAGGCGGACGGGAACGGTCCTGAGATGGGCCGCCAGGGCCGCCAGGACCTTGGTGAAGGTCCGGGGGGCCGAAGCCAGACCGAAGGGTAGGGCCACGTATTGATAATGAAGGTTATTATGGCAGAACCTGAGGAATTTGTAATGGGAGGGCCTGATTGGAATGTGGAGGTATGCCGCCGACAGATCTATGGAAGATAACCAGTCTCCCCGCCTGGTGCCTAAGAGAATTGATTGCAAGGTGTGCATCTTGAATCTACGCTGGATGAGGTGACGGTTGAGCCGTTTCAAGTCTAGGATGGCTCTCCAACCCCCAGAGTGTTTGGGCACCACAAAGAGATGGGAGTAAAAACCCTTTCCCTTCTGGGCCGGAGGGACAGGTTGAATGGCCTGGATGTCAAGAAGATGATGGATGGCTGCATCCATTAGAGCCCGTTTGGAGGGATCCCTTGAGGAGGGGGATGGGATGAAACAATCAGGGGGGGCGGACCTGAACTCCAGGGCGAGACCAAACCTGATTGTGTCCCTAACCCATGCATCGGAGGTGGAAATGTCCCATTGGGCGGCGAAGTGGCTGAGGCGGCCGCCAATGGGGAGGGAGGAAGAGGATCTACCTTCTACGGTAGGGCCTTCCTCCCGATCCCCGGAATGGTCTCTTGTAGCCGCCACCGCGTCTGGTTCTATCACCCGGGTCCGAGCGGTCCTGGGACCGGAAGGAAGGAGGTCTAGGGTATCTGGGCGGGAAGGGGGGTTGGTAGAAGGGGCGGGGGAAGCTCCTCCGAAAGGGCTGGGGGCCCCTGGTCTCCGATCTTCGAAAAAGGGAGGGCAAATACTTTCTCTTACTGCGGCCCTCGACCAGCAGTGGTTCCAAAGCTGGGCCAAACAGTTTGTCTCCCGTAATGGGAGCAGTGGCCAGCTTGACCTTATTCTTTACGTCCGCCTGCCAGTGTTTGAGCCATAGCATGCGGCGAGCCGAAACGTGCGACGAGATGGCTCTGGAAGAAAATTTTACCGACTGGTAAGTGGCGTCAGCCGAGAACTCGGCTGCAGCCACTAACTTCGCTATATCCTGGTGAGCTCTCAGATTGGAAGCAGGGATGTGGTCCTTGAGCTGACGTAGCCAGCGGATGGAAGACCTGGTGAAAAATGAGGCGGCCGTAGCCGATTTAATGGCCCAGGCGTCAGATAGGTGGGCCCTACGCAGCGCCAGCTCCGCCCGCCTGTCCTCAGGCTTTAAGGCCTCTAGGGCCTCACTAGGGGTAGAGGAAGAAGCTAGACCCACAATGGGGTCATCAACCTCCGGGATATTCAGAAGGTTAGACAGAGCCGCATCGAGATTGAAGAATCTCTTGTCTTGGCTAGATGGAGCAGGAGGTGTCCCTGAGGAGGTAAGTTGCTTTGCAACCAGATCTACGAAGATGGGAGGGGATGGGATGACCTCGGCTTCCACCACTGGTTGGGTGAAAATGGAGTCTTCTGGGCCCTCTTGGATTGGGGGGGGTTCAGCAGGGGACTGGGGAAGAAGGCCAGATACATTCTTGGCCTTAAGGAGGAGGGACTTGAACATATGTGGTTTGAACAGCCCCCCAAAGGTGGGTTGGTCGAGGGAAGGACCCTCGTCCTCCGACATCTCCCCCTCCATGATGTCAGCCTCTAAGAGGGGTTCACTATAGCGGGAGGATCCCATCCGGGAATCCTCTTCCTCCTCCCTGAAATCCCCAAAGTCCCCTTCCTCCTCCATCTGGGCCCCAACCGGTGGAGGGCTATCCCTCTGAGAGAGTACCTGATCAGTTGGGGGGACCGGTTGTGGAAGGGATCTGAGTGATAACGAATCGTGTTCAGAGGCTCGCGGAGAGAAACCTGATCTGGACACGTGTTGTAGTGCCTCTGCTATGCCCTGGCGGATGGCTGATTCCATCCAAGCCTTGATGTGAGGTGGAACCTCGGAGGTAGAGGGTTCATCCTGGCGCAGACCAGCGGCTGTGGGTGTAAAGGTGGCTTCGGGGGTCCGTCTGGTCGGAGGTCCGGGGGTCGGAAGACCCTGAAGCGAACTGCGCCTAGGTAGGGAAGAAGGGTCTGAGGGGAGAGGTAGAGCAGAGGTAGAAGGGGTTGGAGGAGGAGGTATAGGCGTTTCCGAGCGGGACTCCCTTGAACGCCGGTCGAACTCTTTTTCTAACGCTTTGTGGCGCCTCAAGGCGTCACGTTGTGCGGCCTTGGAAGGTTCCTTGTCCTGTCTGGAGCCCTTAGGTTCCTTGTCCTGCCTGCGCAAGTAGTGGGACTTTGCTTTAGCCTTCAAAGAAGGACGTTTAGATGGATTGTCGTCTGCCATGTTAGGTAACAATACTAGCAAAGGCGGTTGGCTCGCCCAGAATAGGCCTGGATGAGGCCGGGTGAAGGTGAAGCTGGCCCTCTCCCCCTTTTGGAATTTGTAGTGTACAGAGATAACAGTGAGGTATCTGACAATATAGTATGTACAGGAAAAAATAGATACTCTATTTGTAATTCCTTTGATTTCTTTTTGTTGTTCTTTTTATCTTTTTATCTTTTTCTCTTTTTTTTTTTTTTTTTTTTTTTGTACGCAATATATATACAGGTTATCCGTAAATGTCTATATATCTATGAAAAAAATTATTACTGTACAAAAAAAACAGAAATTATTATTATTATTATTATTTTTCAAATATATTCCTTTTATTCTCGAACAGTAGCGGTAACTGGAATCTCAGTACAGGCCGGATCAGTCAAATAAACGCCTGAGGCCTATGGTAGAAGAGAGGGCCTCTGGCAGCAGGCCTCCAGACAAGAGAAAACAAAACCGGAGGGGGGGGGCTGCAACTTCGCCCCGAAACGGACTGCGGGAGGCCAACTAAGATAAAAGAGCGAGCCAGGTAGAAAGAAATGGGCAGCAAAGCTCTGACCCAAGGCCTGGGGCTCTAATTCACCGCAGCTAGAATCAGAAAAAAAGGCGCCCGACCACGAGGCGGAGCCAAAATGGCGACCGCGAGCTGAACCGTCGGGAACGCCTTCGGGACGGAAAAGGAGGGCTTTGCCGGTCAGCTCGGCACGCCTAGGGCCTTAGGGGCAATAACCCTCCCGGTCGGCGTTTGGGGTGGGGGGGAATCCAGCAGTAAATGAAAGAAAAAACAACGCGTGCCACGAGGCAACGCGGAGGCAGCGATGCGATCTGATAAGGATGGGGGGGGTAGCGCTAAACGCGCTGCGAGCCCGCAGCTTCGTCTCAGGGACGAGGGAAAATTTTCCCTGAAGTCCAGACCCTTTGCGCAGGAGGAGAAAGAAGGCAAACCTTATCAGAAAGTGTAATAGGAAGGAAATCTGCGATCAGCCAAGGAGCTCTCTAACACACAGCCTGACTCTTCGAGGCTGAGCAAAAGACTGGGGAGGCGCTCCGCGATGTCACGTGAGGGGGCGGAGCGTTTCCTCATCTAAAGCTCAGCCTGCAAGAAGAGGACTCGGAAGCACATCCCAGTCTCAGTCTCTGGATGCTCCGAGCGGCTCGAGGGAGAAACAGTTTGTACATATGCTTGATAAGGGAGTTATGAAGAATAGCAAGGTTGCCTATACATATCCCTTCTTAACACAATAATATATTATGGCAGCAGCACCTATTTTTTTGTGCAGTTTTAATGTAAAAAAAAAGGAACTTATCCTGGTCTTGCTGGTTTAGCAGAATCTCATTAATGCTGCTAATGTAGAAAATAAGTCTGTTTTCACATATAATGACCTACGAACTAGCCAACTATGGTTTAGGCTAGCATAACTTAGGAACCTGTCCATATGATTTTAATGATTTCAGGTAAAAAAAAAATCTATCCAACTGGGTTACCTGAATGAACTAGGATTTAGCAAACCATAGGACAACATTTTATGTGAACAAAAGATATCCTTATTGGCTAGTTTACAGAATAATTATTTCATGGTTTGATGATACTGCTAACAGTAAAATCTCTAAATAACAAATCATAACATTTAACAAGATATAACAACAACCTATTCTTATCATTTGATCATTTTTTGAAAGTGGAAAACCAAATTTCTATTGATTCCAGTAATAGCTGTGAGCCATATAGTTCTGGAAAACAGACTGGACTATCCAGAGTAAAGGTATACAACAATTTTTCTAAACTAATGAGGACCAGATAATAATTTTAAATTGACAAAGAATAAAAATTGATAGCTATTGATCTGCAAGAACATTAACCTTAACCCCATCAGCTCCTATGTACAGTAATAACATACATCAAAACAGATTATATATTGCACATATCTGTCAGTAAATGAAAAAAAAATCTGGAGTGTAAAAATGAAGTATTATCCTACTACCTGTATGGCATCTTTTATGGTATATAAGCATGTGATTTTGTGTAAATCGTGCTCCACAATCATTACAAACAAATGGTTTTTCACCTGTGTGGATTCTGAAATAAGAAAAGAATAGCACAAATCAAGAAAAGTATTATATTTGCTCCTCAGCATTACCAAGACATAAGTCAGTGTCTAGCAATCAATGGCATTTACTGGGATGACTCTTAAGATTTCCAGTTCAGAATGGGGATCTCTAATAACTGACTGGGAAATGTAATACCTAGTGTATCACTTGTGCATGATGTGCCCAATCCAACAGGTAGTATGTACAGAGTTGTCTACTATGTATATACTTTTCCAATTGAATGGCATGGTGAGATGACCTTTCATATTAAAAAGACTTTTTTTAAAACAAAATTCAGAGAATAAAAGTCTAGGCATAAGTCTAGACATATTTCCCCTCAAAAGAGAAAAACCAGAAATAAATTTCAAAATGGACAGGAGAATGGTCAAATTAAAAGTTATTTTGTTAAAATCACAAACAATGATCTAAATTAACCTGCAATAAAAAAATAATAAACATAAAAATGCCTTAACTTTCAGATCAATGTCTTTTTGCATTTAGCACAGCAAATATTGCAAATATTTCAGTTTTCAAAAGCTGGGAAAAATTATTCACTTATAGAAGCTATATAGCAAATGCAATTCGACCTCCTTAAATAAAAAATACTATTACATGTGAATTATAGGTCATTTCCTCTCCGAATCCAGGCAGCATTTCATACTTTGCCCCTAAAATAACAATTATTCCTGAATCAAGAAGCATGAAGGACCAAAATGTCCCTATAACTTTGTAATCAGATTTCACCATAGATTGTGCTTTAGGAATAGGTGACATATCCAAACCCCATTAAATTATCAATTTTCTCTCCTACATTACAAGGTTGAATGAAAAGCAAGGCTTCCGATGTTACATAGGTTACTAACAAATGGCAATAATACCGGCGTACTAGACGTTAGATATTTCCTTTAGCATGTTTTTTTCCAGTTTGTAAAATGGAAGCCTGCTGAGCACAGTGATTGAAGTTTTGATTGCCAAAAGAATCCCTCCAACTGAAATTCACAACCAATGTAGATTGTTTGGGGTGATACTATCTTGATATGCCTACTCTGCATCACTGAGCCAAAAAAGGTACAGCTGGAAAAGGCTCATTTGTATAATCAAGAACAAAGTAAATAACCTGTGACAGCAACTAGTGAGCCTCACATGAGAAAGATTGTTAAACAGATCAAAGAGAATTGGAGAACCACTCAAAGGGAAACAACCATAGCATTGTAACAGGAATGTGTGGGTCAGTCACATTACTGATATACTTCAGTATATCACATTACATGCAAGATATGTTCCTCTCATGCCCATAGCAAAGACAAAAGCTTTCAAGGGTTGAAATTTGCCAACAATCATTGTCACATTGTAAGAATGAAGATAAGGTAAGCATTTCTTCCCTGAGTTGTGAGCGCCAGTGAAATATGGGCTCGTCAATGAGATTGAGAAATGAAACATCCTTGGTCCATGGAATATCATTACAAAACTTCACCTTGGGAAAAAAAAATTCAAAACATAGGCTTTGTCGGGGAAAACATGGTTAACTGCTTTCCAGTCTACTTATGTGGTATTATTAATGTGAATTTCCTTGACCCTAGCACCACTATCAACTCAAAATGCCTGAAACCCCTCCCCCCAATTAAACAGAATTTGGAAGCACATGGAGATATGGATGCAACTCACCCAGGGGCCACCCAAGAGACAATGGCAAAGCTTGATCTCACTGTGTTAGCCCATCTGCAATACAGTCCATGCAACTTTCATCTTTTCCCACCACCGAAAGAATACCGTCATAAGGCATCTTTTTAACTCAAATGAAGAGGAGGGAAAGACTATCAGGACTAAACCAAAGACACAACTTTTTGTGACAGTTTTAAGAAGCTTGTCCATCATTGGCAACAGTGTGTAGTAAATGCTAAAGATTATGCGGAGAAGTAAAGTACAGGTCATTTCGAGGATGATTTCCCTGTTTCATTGATTAAAATATTCTCATTTAAACTAACATGATGGAGCCGCTTCCTTTTCATTCAACCTTTGTATATCCAAACTACTTCTCTATTTCAAAGAATAAGCAGAATCTTATCTCGGATGATTCACAGGCTAGGATCAGCAGCAGTTTGCCTGCTGTTCCACAACAGGAAGTATAAAAACAACAAGCCCTGAGGTAGCTTTCTCCAAATGTATTGGACCTCAGTTCGTATAACCCTTAATCAGCATAGATGACAGTTATATCGCCTGGGGGATTATGGAAGGTGTAGCTTAACATTATAGGGGCTGAACTCACTGTTGCCCTTTAGGTTAAAAAGGTAGATCCACCTTGTTCCCACCTTCTATGTACAGGTAGTTCTCGACTTGCAACCACAAATTAAGCCCAACATTTCTGTGGCTAAGCAAGGGAGTTGGTCTCCTTTTGCAACCTTTCTTGCCAGAGTTGTTAAGTGAATCACTGCAGTTGTTGAGTTAATACTACTGTTATTAAGTGAATCTGTCTTCCCCATTGACTTTGTCAGAAGGTTGCAAAAAAGAGATCACATGATCTCAAGACACTGCAAATGTTGTAAATAAATGCTGGTTGCTAAATGTCCAAATTCTTATCATGTAAATATGGGGATGCTACAATAGTTGGATGTGTGAAAAAATGTTATAACTCATTTTTTTCCAGTACCGTTATACTGTACAGTCGAACAGTCACTGAATGAATGGTTGTTAAGTCGAGAATTATCTATATTCCTAGATATGACAGTCGGAGGCATATATCTTTGCTGAGGTGCTTAGTCACAGTATCCCAGCCAGGAAGCCATGGAAAAAGCCATTCAGCTATGGTTCTAAATCTTTGCTTAGTTAAGTACACATAGCTTTCTCCTAAGCGTGCCAGCACCCCCACCCAACTCTTTTCTACTTGCACAGTCTTTAATTGTTCCATTAGGTAAGCACAGCTGCCTATTTCATTCAAACGTAGAGTTTTGCACTATGATTATCTTTGTCAAATTTGTAACCAATGGTTTGAAGCTGAATTGTTTTGAAATCAGACTTCACCCATCATTCCCAGTTTAGGCACAACAATAAATCAGGATCAGTCAAAACTAAACAGATTCTGAAATTCTCCTCAACCAATGCAGAGATAGCAAGGGACTATGAGTAATCATTATTTATGTCACGCTATACAACAGCTTCAATGACTACTTCAGTTTCAACCACAACAATACAAGAGCACACAACAGATACAAACTCAATGTAAACCGCTTCAAACTCGATTGCAGAGAGTAGTCAATGCCTGGAATGCACTACCTGACTCTGTTGTTACATCCTCTAACCCCCACTCCTTTAACCTCAAACTAACCACTATTGACCTCACCCCATTCCTAAGAGGTCTGTAAGGGTCGTGCAGAAGTGCACCATCGTGCCTACCGCCCCTGTCCTATTGTCCCCATTTATTTGTACCTATTTCCTGTATTCTTACTCATGTTTATACTTATATCTATTATCTTGTAAGTGATTGACAAATCAAATAAATAAAATAAATAAATAATGAAAGTTTTTCATATCCCTTACATGTATTATTTTACTTGCCTGGCGATGATTGAAAAGGACTATACTCCCTCTAAGTAATATTAGAAACATATTCTGATCTTCTTTTCAGAAGAAAAGAAATCTAGCCAAAAAATAATTAGAAATGTTCAATCAGGACCCTCAAACTTCCACTGAGACAATGTATCTGCTTGGGATATACAGCCAACTAAAAAGAAAATCTGCTTTCTGAATGTTTAATATGGTAAACTGACTGCCAACAGGACTGATTATCGCCAAACTCATGTCAAAACGAGAGGGTGAAGGAATTGTAGTTCTGGCAGTTCCAGCCAGCCCATCTGGAGAGCACCAGACTGAAAAAGCTGTTTGAGAATAAATACCCCTGTAACCCTCCTGACAGTATTTCAAGTATTACCTAGACAAGGTTTAATCGGATGAACTGGTTTTGCAATAGGTGACAACCTGCTATAATTCCCCCTAACTTTTACACAGTATTATATTTTACCCAAGTCAGTCTGTGACTGGAATGTTATAGTCATTCCAACAACATGAACGTTAATAATAATCAGGACTCTAAATGTTCTCCGTTCTTTAGCTAAGGCTTACATTTATTCCAACGTATGTTACGGTGGCTCAGGAGCATTTTAGATTATGGCTGCGACCTGCCGTTTCAAAGGAAAACAACCTATTACTGAACCCGCCAGAGAGGAGCTCCAACCTATTCATTACTTTTTTGCCCAGGAAGAAGCTGCCTCAGGGAAGGCATTAGCTTTTTGCCCGGGAGATTTAGCTTACAAGGCCCGTCCCGCCTGTTCATACCTCATGTGTGTTTTAAGTGCCGAAGGCTGAGAAAACTTAGCCTCACACTCTGTGCACCCATAAGGCTTGTCGCCTGTGTGTGTCCTTTCATGAAGCCTCAGGGCCGTTTTGGAGCTCAAACCCTTTCCACACTGGAGGCAGTGATGACGCTCCCCACCACCCTCATGAACCTGCAGAATGTGCCGCTTGACGTCCTTCTTGCGCTTGAACTTCTTACCACAGAGCTCACATGGGAAGTGGCGCTCGCTGCTGTGGACGTGGCGCTGGTGGCTTTTGAGGTTGCACCGGTTGGCAAAAGTCTGGCCACAGGTTTCGCAACGGTAAATGATTTCAGCTGCGATGCCATGGCTCTGCTTGATGTGTTTCAGAAAGCTCTTCTCGTAGAGGAATTCCCGCTCGCAAGTACTGCAAGTAAAGTTGCCACTGCGGTTCTTTTTATCCTCCTCCAGTTTAGTCAGGTTTTCCTCCTGGTGGTCCTCAGCACCATCAGGCCCTTTCTCCTCTAGCTTCACACTGTTCACCGCTTGGTCTTTCTCCTCCTCCTCCTCCTCTTCCTCCCCACCCTTTTCACGGGGGCCCTGGTCTTTGGAAAGCCGGCTCTCCTCCACAACAGCTTCAGCCAACGTCTGTTGCTCTCGCAGGCGCCTTGTGTACTTCTTCTTGGGTATCTCCACAAAGACTTTTCTGCCAGCCAACCTGCCACTCGCCCGCCTGATTTTGGAACAGGGGGCCTTCAGGGCTTCTTTTTTTCTCTCCAACTTTTCCTTTAATTTCAGGGTGGGGGGTTCTAGCTCCAGTCCAGTCCTGGGTCTTCTGAGGGCAGAGCTTGCAAAATAATCCACATTGTCCCCTTGTGGTTCAGTGATAGTTTTGGGCTCAGTTAAAGTGCCAGGATGGGCCCTGCCATCCTCATTGGTATCCTGTGACTCAGAAAAATTTTGCAATTCCAGCAACACCGATTCAAGCATTTGTTTTTTTAACTGAAAGCAGGTCTCTGACAAATCTAAACATTTCAGTTTCTCAGCCACTTCCAGCATGCGCTGTACCCGATCTTCTTCTACCTCTACCCGGGCAGTATAAACAAATTCCAGAAAAGATGCAAAGTCAGCTACCTGGACTTCATTCAGTAACACATTGGTCCTTGGTCCATCCATGCCTTTTTCATTAAGAAAGACCTCTTTAAAGAACTTGCTTGTGGCTGCCAGCACAGCTTTGTGAGCAACAAACTCTGCTCTGACACCTTGATATTCTACGCTCACGGTGACATCACAAAGGTGGCCTAGGAGACGCAGCTGATGCATTTCATTCAAAAGGTTGATTGGTGAGGATTTGGATTCCAGAAGAACAGCATTACTTTCCATCTTCTTCCTCTCTAAAAATACATTATTACATGTTAATAGTTTGCCACACAAATAAGATTAAGACCCCAAAGTAATCACCAAAGGATAAATCCTTTTATTCTGTCAAATCCCCACTATCCTGTCAAAGCTGAAGAAGCTTCTTGGATGAGATGCAAAACATTTTCAAAAGGAAAAACAAAGAAGTCCAGTTGCCTCCAGAAAAAGCAACCATGATCTGGGTGATTGAGTATCTCTAACAGACCCTGAAGTAATGTTCTCCTTGCCAATTTGAAAAAAAAAGAAAAGTATAAAACCTACAAAATCCAGTTAGGCCCTTCCAATCAATGAATATTGATTGGAAGGGTCTCTGAATGTTCAATATGTATATAACAATCTCCTTTGTAGTAGGCCCTCACAGACTGACAGGCTGCCAGTGATTTGCAACTGTATCTCCCTAAATTGCTTGGCATATACAGGCAGTCCTTGTTTAGCAGTCACAGTTGGGACCAGCAACTCATTAAGCAAACTGGTTGCTAAGAGAAACTGCAATTCTTTTATGATCTTACTTCAGTTTTCCTTTGCTTTAAAGACCTGCAAAGGTTGCAATTGCAGGAATTGGACCTAAGGTTACTTTTATATCCCAGTTGTAACTATGAATGGTCACTAAATGAGGCAGCCTAAATGAGGACTACCTATATAAACAGCAAGAAAGGAGAAGGTACTTTTTGTTGTAAACTATTGGACTTGGTTTATAGTACTGTCACACTCTTCTGACATTATAAGCTCAGACCAGAGAGACAAAAAAAAAAAAAAAAACCAATCCCTGAGTAAGATGGCATACTAACGAATCTGTTTTCTCAATCACATATACCTGCAAGAGGAAGAATGAGAAAAATATGTAGAGAACAAATTGATTAACTTAAATACTTGCAATGACAGGCAAACTGCTTAGTTCAGATCTCTAATGATACAAGAATCTGGGGGTGGGGAGGGTAAATGGCCTCTTTGAAGCTTAACAAACTGAAGTTCTTTGTCATTCCTTCCCGTCTTCTCAGCCCCACTGAAAGTCCTGTTAAATGCTTACTTTATTTGGAATAATACAGCATTTTGCAGTTTTCCATATACAGCTTTCTTACAATTTTCAATTCACTGATGTACACCCCATCCATCCAGTTCTCTCCATCTTGACAGTCACCCTGAACTACTTAAGAGTCACATCTCAGATCTCTTCATTTGGAAGTTGGTAAGTGAATCATGATTAATCATACCACCTGGATTAAGATGACATACAGACCTATGGCTAAGGTAAATAAACCTAAAACAAATTAGCACTTTAACCGGAGTTTGATCCATGGTGACTTTGGATAACCTGCCCATCTGATAGCCATGGGCTTATCATATCATGCAAATTTAGTTCAAGAACCAGAGTCCACACTTCCTTGTTTTCATCACCTTTTTTCCTTTCATATAATCTCATTTAGATTATAAACTGGCGGATAAGCTTATGCAAATTGTTCTGCAATTCTTTTACGATTGAGGAAGGTAAAAAGCACCTCAGAATCCTTAAATGAACCAGTGAAAATAGTACTATTGGTGAGCACTCCAATTTCCCCATTTTTATTATTATTTTAACTTGTTTTATTTTTGATATGTTTATTTACTTCTAAGCAAAATAATTCACATTCACATGTTTTATTCCGACACTCAGGCTTTGCATCTCTTTGTCACAATTTATATTTTGCAGGCTTTATGGGTCTCAAACTTGGATTTTCCTTATGACCCTGATGTAAAGTTCCTAATAGGAAGATAAGAATTTTTGAATGTTCTTTCACCCTGCTTAGGCAAAAATACAAGTGAAATGGAGTCTGTGACAAGGTACATAACAAGGGGCTCAGGAAATCTGACAGAAAAAGGCAGAGAGCGCCACATAGGCATCTGTCCTCCCGTCCCCCGTTCCCCCCCCCCCCCCAGTTTTGTTCACTAAGAGATAGGAAGAAGCCAAGTTTTGTCAATACAATCAAGTAATTTCACTCTCCTAACTCCTAGGCCAACTATTTGGCATTCTTTTGCTGACAAATCTGCCCCAGCCTATGATAAAAAAAAGTTATCAAAGGAGCATTTTCCCCCCTATGATTTCCAACTTCTAGTTCAAAGCCATTCTAAACACAAACCGCTTAGAAATCTTATATTTTAAGCATGCACATCTTTATTTTTTTTTTAAATCACCCACCTCCATATACATTTCATATATGCTCTTCTCTCAGCTGAACTTCACTCGATTTCCTCCCATTCTGCCTGCTGCCCTCCAGGACTAACTTGATGCCCACCCCCACCCCCACCCCCGATATGGGACTACAAGTCCCATTTCATCCTAGGTAGCACACGACCAACGGCTAAAGGGCAACTGGAAACTCCTCGATCTATTTGGAAGGCACCAAGGTTATTTTAAAAGCCCTGAGGAAGCGGGACGATCGCTTGGGTATCCGCTATTTTTTTTTTGTCCCAGCGCAAGTGATGTTACGCATAAATTACTCCCTGTCTTAGCTACGAATACCTTGCCAAGCTCACAACCACACAATTTTTTTTTTTTTTGGGGGGGGGGGGGAGATGCCGTCGCCTTCCTTTTCGTACCGTGATCCTTTCTGCAGGAGACCCACCAACACACTCATACACACGCACACTAGGGAGGAGGAGAATGAACACAATGGGGGTACCACTTTTTGTTTCGCTTCGTCCCCCCCCCCTTCCTTA